TTATCAATCAAGCGTAAAGCTTAACAATGCCACAAGAACTTTCCTTCAGTCTGAAGATGACTGGAAAATAAGCTTCCGTGTTCTGTGTCACGACACATACACAGCCCTTTTGAGGGTTCTGTTAAATCTTCAAGAAATAGAGGAAGCCTTGGCTACTGCGGAACAAGGGAGAGCGCAGGCTTTGTTGGATCTCATGAATTTACAGTATGGTTATACTACTGACCAATCGCATGACTCCTTTCAACCACAACGAGTAATCTCATCTATCCTTAGAAACACCGATACAAGAATAGTATTTATAGCGTTGCAAAGAAAAACAATTAATTTCTGGATATTATACAAAGACAACCAGATACATCATAGACACAAGGCATTAGAGGATGAGTGTAGTCACGAAGATGCATCTTCCTTTTTGGAATATTTGATAAAGAATGCTTTCCGCGAAAATGCTATTAGCCTTCGTGTTAACTGCGAGGATCGCTCACTGGATAAACTAAGGGGTTGCGTTTCTGCCAGCAAAGAAACCAGTCAAGTCGCAGAATCGTCCACAACTTCCACAAATTGTACAAACAAGTCTTTGAGATGCTTATACGACACTGTGATCGATCCGATTGCTGACTTGCTTCAAGGAGAAGAAGTAGTCATTATCCCAGATGGCCCTTTGTGCTTGGCCCCTTTTTCTGCATTTGTAGACCGCGAGTTGCGGCACTTAAATGAATCGAAAAGGATCCGCATCTCTCCATCGCTAACAAGTTTACAACTGATTGGAGATTCGCCTAAGGATTACCACAGTCGGCGTGGGGTGCTGCTTGTTGGCGATCCATGCGTGAGAGACATCCCTTTTTTATCGCAACTTCCATTCGCGAGGCATGAGGTGGAGACGATTGGGAACATTCTCAAGGCTCAACCCCTAACAGGTAGAAACGCTACTAAAGACGAGGTGTTGCGAAGAATGACTTCAGTTGCTTTGTTGCATATTGCAGCTCACGGACGAATGGAAACAGGAGAAATTGCTTTGGCTCCTAATCCAGGACGGGCATCGACGATTCCTGAAGATAAAGACTTTATTTTGACAACGGCAGATGTACAGGCGGTCAAACTAAGAGCAAAGCTTGTTGTTCTAAGCTGCTGTCACAGTGCTCGTGGGAGGGTTACCGCTGAAGGTGTCATAGGAATCGCACGGGCTTTCTTGGGAGCTGGTGCTCGTTCAGTTTTGGTGTCGCTATGGGCCATTGACGATGAAGCCACCTTCGAGTTCATGAAGGCTTTTTACCAACACCTGGCAAAGAGACAAAGCACCAGCGTTTCCCTTCACCTGGCTATGCAATGCCTTCAAGACTCCGGTCAGTTCAGTGCCGTGAGGTACTGGGCTCCATTTGTTTTAATTGGTGATGATGTCACTCTTGAATTTGATTTAATAGAATAAGGAGTGTCGAACTGACTATGAACAGTCTTATGAAAGGGACATGACAACAAAGCCCTATTGTAAAAGATCAACAACGTTGCTGGAATCCAGAAATTCAAAAACAGAAAGCCAACCATTTAAACCGAGGTGTTTGCTTGACAGCCTGGAAAAAATTTCATCAAATGGCATTCCAGCTTACAGACAGTGCATTAATGAGTGTACAGACGCAAGATGTATACGTACTGAATGTCGCGGAAGCTTTTATTGTCCTGCTTAGCTTCTCAGTGATCGATGTTTCGCATAACCTGATAAAGCGTAAAATAGCAACAACGTTATAATTGCCAGCTTTTGCAATCACGGTAGCCTGCGAGCAAGCTCTCCTATTTGGGCGAGCGAGGCGAGCGTGCCTCTCGCGCGACTACTTTTCAAGATGTACCCCAAATGGAGCGCTTGCTCGCAGTCTACAATCACGGAAAAAAAAAAAAAAAAAAAAAAAAAAAAAACATGAACGGCCTTGCATTTGCTCCCGCTTCGCTCCTCCGGCAAATGACACCGTATGTTCATGGACCCAACAGCCCAATGAAATATAACATTCGCTAGCCTGAAAAAACGTTTGTCTTTCCTTAGATCTCTCTCATTTGCAGAGAGTGCTTAGGGAGACTGAGGAGAGAGAAAAAAAGGAAGCGCGATAGGTGCTGACTGAGAAGGGAATAGGGAAGAAGAGAGGCCTGCTTTTCCCTTTCTCCATCGGTCCCAGCGCGCCTATTTTTTATTTTTGTTTTTATCGAAAGCGCAGCGGAAACTTCTGCGGAGGAGGGACCGAGGGAGGCCTTGCATGGCTACGCCCTATATTGCTCTGTGTGCCAACATTTGGAAGTGCAGTCAGGTCCTCGATCTTTCAATTGGTAAGGGAGACCGTTTATGAAAACCACCGAAACTAAAACAAAAACAATGTGCAGCACTCTATGTTGAACTAAAGGTCTGATTATGAAAACCAATGAAATATTAAAATCAAAAGCAAATGCGCTGCAATCTATGTTTAATAAGGCTAAGTTCACATTATACCGGATGGCTTTTGCGCCGGTACGTGTAACGGATAAGGCTTCTGTTCACATAAAAATAGTAATATATTTCGGCTAGATCATCTGTAACGGAGCGAGGCCGCGCCGCGCGGATCTCTAAACGAATGTGTGTTCATACTACATCATGTCGGCACGAAAATTAAAGCTGTCCGGTATAGCGTGAAAACATAGCCTAAAGCTGAGCACAATATAGATGGTTTTCATAGTGACGTCATCATATTGTAAAGTCAAAATAGCAAGGTTTTACGAATTCTTGTTTACACTAGGTTGGAGATAAACAAAAAGTAAAACTTTGTACAAGTTTCCATTCCTGTAGCATGTTTCATTTCGAAAATACAGCAATTTGAACTTCCGAGTTTTTACAGTGCGTGACACCAAAATAGGAATGCTATCTCAGTGTGACTCGTTGAAAAAAAGCCTCTCCTCTTGATATTCAGCAGTATAAACACTTCAAGTTTTAGAAGATATGTTTATGCGCACGTATGCTAGTTCTCGAGTGAAAAGAAAGAGCTTTTATTGAAAAAGTGATCTCCGGATGTTTTTGTTGATTTCCGGCGGCCATATTGGTGCACCGTTTAATATGGCGTCTCCATAAAAAACTCTACAAAGGTGCGTGAAACGTTTCGACAAATAACTCAGAAACTGTAGGCCTTAACTGAGGACCTGAGACTTGTTTAAAAATTAGTCTTTATGACATTTCGTTTTCTTGGCTTCTTCCTCCAGACGGTTTCCAATTTATTTTTTTGTTGCTTTTTACTCTTCACAGTTAAGCTCTATCCGATCCTGTGATTTACATCTCCTTTGATCTTCTTATCTGGAAAGATTGAACGAGACTCCGCAGGATCAGTACATAAGCTGTGGCTGACTTTAAACCGTAAAACAGCCAAAACATTTTAGTCTTTGGGCGTAGAAAATTGAAGTTTTCAATCGTTCGTTGTTAGCTGCCTGTGTAACAGGCTCTTGAATTACTTCCAAGCTGCAGAAAGAGTTTAAGAAAGAAATTGTCAGTTGTAGAGAACGTCTCAAATATATTGCTTGTTGCGACTTTCGTCATCTAGTCTCGCGGCCGATGAACATCGCAAGTTTTCTATCTCAAAATGCTCTTATAAAAAGCAATGGAAACTTTTGAACTTTCAAAACTAATGATTTTCTTCTCTAGAAGTCTGTTGGGTCGTAATGGCAAGAGGAGATTTTAGATGGAGGAGGGGGAGGGGGGAGCTTCAGCTTCAGAGCTTCAGCTCTTCTTTTCCCCCAGAAACGCCTGATACTCAGGCTAGGCCGTAAAGGAGAGCAATTGACCTTACTTTAGCCAGTCAAAAAAGCCAAGAACCAATAACGGTAATACTGGCCTTCACCCGGACACGGTTCAGTTGAAGTTCCGGCAAATTTGGCTTCATAACTATTCAAATTCACTTTAATCATGATCTACTTTGCCAACTCATACTGGTTTGGATGTTTCCGCGGCTGTTATCGTTACGGGAGACGCAGAAAACGGGTGATTTTCGCAATCTTAGTTTTCACTTGCCTGTGTTTTCCTCTGCTGTTTGAAACGTCCGCGATGCAGCAAAAAAAAACGACATTTAATGTTCGTGACGTTGCTGAATACTCACACCAAGACCAAGAAGCAGTATCATTCATTGAAATAACAAGCGGTAGAAATAATCCTAATACAAATCCAAGCACGGCTCTGGACCGCGATCATGGAAACATCGAAAAGGTTAACGACGTTTTCAAAGTACCAGAACCGTTGTTGAAAGGAAATACTGCTTGTCCTAAAATCGCAGAAGAGCCTGGATTCCGCGACATTGTCGAAGGAGCTGTGGTGTACTCGGTTTGGTTTGACGATCGAAAATCGCAACATTTTATACGAATTTTGATGCTGACCTCGAAATGGAATCTACCCTCTATAACTTGTTTTTTCAAAAGCGCATTAAAACAAGAAACTTTTTCCAGTAAAGCTTGGTTCTATGAGCATAACGAAAATCATGCCAACAGGCGCTTTGGAGCCTTTGTGGCTTCTTGTCCCGTTCCGCAAACTCTGGACAGCAAACCTTGCTTGGTGAATATCTCGGCAACAATAAAGTCTACTAAAAGAAAATTGAGCAACACGAAGGTCTTTCAAGTTCGTTATATTGGCCGACAAAGTGGCGACGAAAAGAGTAGAGTTCGAAGTAAATACGGCATTTGTATCCCTCCAGTCCACGGTGATGTCTCTGTTGAAAGAATAATCGAATTTCTAGAACTCGCGCAGATTTTGGGGGCTTCGCATTTTACATTTTACGATTTTGCTATGTCTGAGAAAGTGCGAAATGTCTTGAAATATTATCAAGATATCGGCCTAGTGAGTGTTTTTCGGTGGAATTTACCTTCTTACACTAAAGACCAAGTGCACTATTTTGCTCAGCCGTTGGCTGTATGGGAGTGTTTGTTCCGCTCCATGAGAAATCTCGACTTTGTTGCGTTTCATGACTTGGATGAGTTCATCGTACCCCTTCGCCATGAGAACATAAGCGCATTGCTTGAGTACATTCATAAGGAAAAGCACTGCGGACATTGCTTTGAAAGCGTCCTTTTTGATCCTTCAACGGATCAAAACGGCTCGCTTTTAATGACACAGCGAGATTTTCACCGAACAAGTAAGGTAACTCCATATTACACCAAGTGCATCGTAGATCCGCGGAGAATTTTTGAGCAAGGAATTCATCACATAAGCAAACCCAACGAGGAGTTTTACCACGCTGACAAAGTAAACTGGAATATAGCTCGTGTTTTTCATTACAGAAAATGTAAAATTCCCGGTGCCCAGCATAATCCGGGTTGTTCTGCTTTCATAGTCGACAAAACTATGCAGAAATTTGGCGATAAACTGTTAACCAATTTTAAACTTAGAATGAAGGCAGTAGTGAGCGCCAAACAGCAAAATGCGTAATTTTCTTGGCAGTCATTTCAGTTTCATTTGCCATTTACATCATGACCCTGGGTGCAGCTGTTGTTTCTGTTGTTACTGTTTTTAAAAGTTTTTTTTTTCTTTCCGTCTGAGGAGCTTATTAAACCGTGCGCACGAGATTTTTCTTCCCACTTTGATATTTCGAGAACTGACCTCTGAATTGAAGCCAGGGTATAATTAATACAAATGTCAAAGCTAGCAGAGCTATCATTATCGATATGTAGACGATTCGATTTCTAAAATATTCCTCCCTGACGTAATCGCCAGCTCTATGAAAAATACCCTGAGGGAGTTTTTTTAAGTACGTTCTCTGAGAGGTTTCTTTAATAGTTGAATGCTTTTTCCATAAGTTAAAACAGAGAAGCGCTTGACCGTTGGAGAATGACACCCATGCATGTTTTCTGAATTAGTTTATCATTTGGCAACTTCATCCTTCAAGTGTTTACAATACTGTTTCCTGACAATGGCAAACTGAACTGTCATAGTTGTTATATTAGATGGTGCTGTTTAATTCGTACTAGTCGCTAAAGATAAAAGTGTTGTACATGAAGTTCATTTAGTGTATATTTTGCGAAAGAAATATTTTACGGTAGTTTCTTGTTTCATGACCCTAGACTTTCTTGGACCGATGCAATCACCAAATTACGTCATACAAAAGATTAAAAGACATTGAACACAATTCCCGGCACACCATAACACAAAAGCCAACCAATAATGGTTTCCGCAACACTAATAGAGACCTAATATAAGAAACACGCGATTTTATCAACAGCCTCTCGTGTTTATATCAGTTTTTTTCTAGTATTTATTATCAATGTTTAACAACTGGGCTGATCTTCAAATGCAATAGTCGAGGCAAGCCCACATAACAACACAAGTTGAATAAATATCTGTTCATTTTATATAAATATCATTTCATGATATGGAGTATGCATGAATAAAAACGCTTGATAGGTTTCCTCTCTTTCCTATTATGATACTATGATCTCTTGCATAAATTTATACTCTTATTTTTAAAATAACTAATATTAAGTACGCGCCCTCTGATTGGCCGAGAGACGTGTTTGCATATGTTTGGAACGTCAAGATGTTTTGCCTTTCGTGCGCTAATCACGCAAGTACAAGTTTTAAAGTTGAAAACACGACAAGTTTTACTAAAAGTTTACTTTATTTACCCATTCCCTCGTCGGCTGAAACTTGCACCATCTTTACAAACATGTTGTTTCAACTTTTTTTCGCTTAAGCTGACATTTTAAGCGAGAAAAATAGTTATTTTGGAAAGTTTCTTTTTTGCAAAACAAAAACAAGACTTTGTGTACTAGACTTCGCGACTGGTAAGAATTTCTCTTTTAATCAGTGCCAAACAAAGAGTTTTGCCTTTTTTTCTAGGAAAAGTTAATTTATTAAATCGATTTTCCTGTATTTGCATAGCCTGTTTGATATAAACACTCCACGCTTTAGGAAAATTCTCAACAGTTATGCAAACCCCCGACTTCCGGTCCTACCGGGTTTGCGTATAATTGTCTCGAATTCTCCTAACCCCTCTCGTGTTTATATCAGGCTATGCAAACACGGAAAACGTTCTCGATTGCTTTAACTTTAGGAATATATCTTATTAGGAGCCTGATTTTATAAGAATATCGAGGCTGAAATCTGCGAAAATTTAAGAACATTTTTTAATAAACCTCTTTCTCTAAACGACAAAACTAGCCAACTGGCAACAAAACCCAAAAACTTGCACTAACTCTTAGTGCCCCAATACATTCTAAAACGGAAATTTTATAAGCTATAATTCAAGAACAATTTAAGAATATTTCCAACCTAAAATTGGCGGCAAAATAAGAATATTCAGCCTGGGCCTGAAAAACAACACCCTTATGAACAAACTAAGTGTATCACGTCAGTTATCTTGCGTCAAGACACTGAGTCAGAGATAGCTAGAGATGATCAACGTGACGAAAAACCGATTGGCGGATTGGCCAAAACAGGTGAATCAGCTCCAGGGCTAAAACGAGTTTTGTTTATTTTTGTATTTCAGTAAACTATGTATTGTGAAAAGTCCCTTGCTTTCCCAGGGGATCATGTTTAGGGTGCGTGCAAGCGAAATACGTGAGCGCGCGTGAAAATTGCCACGCACGCGAGATAAAGCGAGACGCGGAGAAAAGAAAAAAAATCAGCATACAGAATTAGCTATTTTGTCGGCATGGACCAGAGGACTGGGTCGGATAGGAGGAATTGTGAGTAGCTTTCTGAGATATGTTTGGTTGTTCGTTGCAAATCAAATCAGTCTACGTCAGCATTCATTCGAGCTACTAACTTTTTCAAGATTTCATTTGTCAATTTGGTTATATTTGTTTGTTGGCATTTGGCAGCAGTTAGTATCCATGTACCTTTTTCCACAAAATGGTTTTGGGTTTTCGTATCCGCAGCCCCCCCCCCCCACTTTTTGAAAAAAAAAAAATAAATAAAATTAAGAAATACACATGTTCAAATAAAAGGAACCTTTAATGGAAAAAGAATATTCGACTGGCAGACCTCGCCAGAGCATCCAAATTTATGATTGGTCAGTTTCGATGCTATATCATATGGTGAGCTTTAAACGACTATCTTTACAAAACTGCACTCAGTCGTAGACTTCTGCGTTTTCACCAGCCAGGTGATGTAGTATATGCACAAACAATGGAGTCCTTTTTTTTTTATCAAGGTTCTTAAATCTCCACGGAGCTACGATTTCTTAAAACAAATTGACCTCGATGACATATGCGCGACGTAATTGACCAACCAGATCCATAACTAGAGTATAATACCATTAACTGACGTGATACAACTCACTTTGACTCTGAAGATGACTACCGCACAGGTTGTCGAAAAGTCAGTCACTGTCAACAACAACAGTCCTATTCAGGACTACGTTCATCCGGACGATCAAACTCAACCTACTTTTGATCTATATATTCATTCAAAAATTTACAAGGGGTCTGGAAATGAGATTGAGATTTAATCCCTGGATCCGCCACTATCTATCCAAAGGTTAAGAACAGTGAACACAAGCTCATTTAGCCATCCTAGAATAATCGATATCATTTACAATTCAGTTTCATTTACAAGGCTCCGCATTTGTGGAATTAGCTTCCCTCTCACATTAAAAGATCGACTGAGTTGAGTGAATTTCGTAAACAATCTTATAAACTTCAGGGCCAGTTGTAAATGTAGTTTTTGTCAGGAGGTTTTTTTATATCTTAGGGTTTTTCACCGATATCTTAGATTTATTTATTCATTTTTTATCTAAGGGTTTCTCACTTATTCTTACGGGTTTTAGTTTTTGATTAATTCAGTGCAAGAGAGGACTATCCTCTCTTGTTCAGTGGGATGCGGGAGGGTGTTGCTTTGAGTATTCATAATTTTCATTTGTTTTTATACATTTCAATCTTTTAAAATTATTTTTTATTGAAATGTGTTGTATTATTTTTAACTATTCTTACTGTCATATACATGAGCCCCGGCTCGGATGATCCATCCCACGTATTGATATAAGTAAATTGATGATTGATTGATTGATTGAAAGGCTCCAAAGTATCCCGGGTTTTGGAAATGATCCAAAGAATCCACCTCCGTTGTGGATCTTTTGAGTTTGGAAGAATACTTAGTAAAGAAACGAAATATCGGTTTTCGGATTAAAAAATCTGGATTTGGATTTTAGCAGTAGCTCATATGGACTGCTGATTTTAGCAAAGGAACGCGTTCTAATTGTTTGCTTCCCCAACTGGCCCTCTTGATTGCCCTCGGGTAACCTCGGGCAGAGATCTTGCGGAGATCTGGGTATGACACCTTGTTACCAGACCCTTTCGTTTGCTAATTTACGCTCGAGAAATCAAGCACCATCTCAGAATCCTTTCGTGAATTGTCGGGATATATTGCAACATGAAAACCGGAGCTATGTGTAAAATTCACATATTAGATGAGGAAAATCATTGATGAACGTTTGCTTTAATGTATGGGAACCTTATGGCGATAAAATCTTTTGCTGGCTCTCACTGTGACAAGTTGCTCCATGCTTGACAACGAGCAAAACATCGATATCCATTGTGGAGCATCCTGGAATTCTGAACTACCGTGCTTTACGTTGTTGTGGCTGACCTATTAATATGGGAAACAAAGCTTCAGCTCAAGAGGCTAAAGGAGCTGGGAAAGACGTTATTAAACAGACGCAGAAAAGTTCCAACGAACTGTACGAATATGTCGATCTAAACGGAGGCGGAAAATTGGTGGAAGCTTTCAGAAGAGGTGAAGCAAGGAAAGATTTTACCGAGGTGGAGGAACTTATTGATGGATTTCGAGGCAAGTTCTTGTATAACGATGGCGTTGGAAAAGATATTGAAGTAAAAGAACTTGTACAGTGGAGAAACCAGAGCCGTGATGTGCAAGAACCGAAGGAAAAAAGTATCTTTAGTTCTTTCTTTACCACCTTCACAAATCGCGTCGAGGATACAATCGAAACTGTTGGTACAGATAATTACGCGTTGACCGAAAACTCTGGTAAGAGGATTTTTATATGCTTTATTACTAAGCAAACTTTCCATATCGCAACTGTCGCCTGCAACATTTAATTTATTCTTAATTTCTGCTCCTTGGGCTGCTTGGATTCCCAAATTTCCCGGGCGAGGACGGGGAGGCGGGGAAGGGTGGGGACTCCCTTACATGGATATGAGCCATAAATTTTTTATCAGCGGGGGAAGGGTGGGGGCACTTTCTTATATGTATATGAGCCACAAATGTTTTATTGGTATGGTTGCATTGTTTCAGTCTGAAAACAGGTATAGACTTTGCCTGTTTGGTCTGAAATTGGGCATGGTTTTTTAGGGAACTCTGGCTGTGTATGAGCGAATATTTCGAAATTCCAACTGAATAAGACAGAAAGCATAACATGCAAATTCAAAATGGATTTTATGAAATCATTCTGTTGGCATTCTAATCTAAGCAATGATGACATAATTTCTTAGAGGCCAGGTCTGAAAACAGGTGTGGAAAGTTTTAAAGAACCGGGATCTGGATAGATATAAACACAAGCTATGAATATTTTCTAGAACTGGTCATGTCACTATTTGTGACCATAACTGGAGTAATTTTGTGGGCCTACCAGCCCCTTTTTCCCTGATATAGGCCACTTCAAATTTTCGAATTAGGCTTTCGAATTAGGGCTATTGGACAGCAAATTTGTCATGCTCTGGGAAGAATGCCACTGGCACTCTCTGCTTTGTAGCAACTAAGGGACAAGAATGCTGTGACTAAGATTTCAAGTTTCTAGATAATTTATTAGTAGGCTGAGAATTGCATAGCTCTACAATGTACATGTAGGAGGTCCTTTTGGCTCCATTTTCCATTAATTTTGCTTGCTATAAAAGACACCTAGGCTAGTCATGTCACACATATACTGTAGTAGCCAGAGGAAAATTAATTGTAGTAGCGCATAGTCTAACTTTCCTACTATCAATGATTTTAGGCAATAAAACTCGACAAGTCTACTGGGATATCAACCTGCGAGCGGCCGTTGGTGAAACCATCCTTCATCTGTGTTTTCTGAATGCTACTCGTGTGCATTATGATCTTTCCAAGATGATCATTAAAAGATTTCCCAATCTTGTCAATGATATTTATCTCAGTGATGAGTACTATGGTAAGTTTCATGAAAAAAATAAAATAAAAAATAAAATAAGATCATTACATTGACGCAGCGAGGCTTAGTAATATAAGGTGTTGGATGTTACATGTGCGTTATACCTTTTTTACTTCAGGTCCAACTTCTCAGTTGTTCTTCTGGCTTGTACATTGTACATAGAGCGGTTTTCACTTGACTGTCGTAAAACCAAAACCAAAGTAAATACACTAGCCAACCAAAGGGCGTAGTAAAACCAAAACCAAACCAATTCCTCAATAATATTACTTTCGACAGTCAAGTGAAAAACGCTCTATAAATCAAAACTATACCGAAGTGCAGTTCTGTATTATTAATTTTTTGTTTGAATCTTTTGTGGTTCAATTTTATTATTGATCCAACTTTGTCTCTAATTGTTGTGGCAAATATTACCATACCGCCCTAAACAGAAAAAAAAGTAACAATTTCGAGCCAATGATGAAATCGAACCACACGTCTTGGTCACTTTTATTGTATTTTAATACTTTATTGTGTTGAGCTTTAACTGTCCTTCTCAAAATTAAGTTTTTGAAAGTGACAGTTAAACCTAGGTCATAAAAAACTGGGGACAACTTCATGGAAAAATTAATACAGGGGCACCCAACGAGGATATAGTTCAGTACCACTTAACATAGCATTGTTGAACGTATTTTAGTATTTAAACGGTAGATATAGGCATATTTTTATCCCCTAAAAACTTTTCATCTGTTCGGATTTCCTAGCTGAAAGTCTAGTGATCCGAAAATTATAGGGATCAAAACTTACCTTTTCGAAAATTTCAGCCAGGAAAAGGCTCCTGAAAATTCTAGGTGGCCTTTCTTAGGGTAAATATCCGTTTAAAATGGGTAATTATACCATTTTGTAGATGTTCGAAAATCCTAGGAGAGGCAGGGAAGGAAGAAATTTTACAACAAATGTTCCGAAAATTCTAGTTCTCAAATCGTCTTCCGAACAGATATTTTCGCAAAAATTGCAGTTGGGTGCCCCTGTTAATAGATAGTCATGGAATTTGACAAGCTCATAGATTAATTACAGGCCAACAACTGGGGTGGGATTTTACGGTATATCTAGAAATTGTATTTATATTTAAAAATGACACAAAGAGGGGCTGAAATCAATTAATTAGTTAGCTAACAGTGAATATTTTTATATTGGTTTTAGGTGAGAGTGCTCTGCATATGGCAATTGTCAATGAGAATCAAGAAATGGTACATTATCTTTGTAAGCACGGAGCAAACATACATGAGCGAGCTTATGGAGCTTTCTTGATGCCAGAAGATCAGCGGAAGTCAAGAAGAGACAACTTTACTCAGGAAGAAATTGTTCTTAGCGATGTGACTAATTATGAAAGGTTTGTATTCTAATGTGTTTATTCTATTGTGTGACTGTCCTGGACAGTACAATGTAACTTCCCAGCATGTGCCCTTATTGTTTTTGCTGTAGTGGAATTTTAGTTGCTTTACATGTATGCATTAACTCCCAATAACTCAAACCTTCAAGGGATATGAAAAAAGGTTCAAGTTATCGGGAGCTGGAAGAAAGTACAGCTGTAGATGGGAGTAAGGGAAGAATAACAGTTTTTACTGCACAGCAAACATAAAAAATCACATTGAATTGTAGAAAATGTTAATAAGTGAAAATTAAAAGATACTTTTAGATCATAAATCAGAAGGTAATGTACCAAAACATTGCCTAAATAGAGCAAGCATTTTACTGTTTTGAGAAGAAAAGCTCAGTTTCATGTTAGATTTGTGACAAACAACATCAGCCTCCACTAGCATCCTAACGCCTTCACTATGTGCCTACAACACATCAATGGGAAATTCAAAATTCAATGTTTCAGACACCAGTACACTGTTTTTTCTCAACTTTTTAAAGGCTCAAAATATGGTTTGAGTTGTTGAGCATAAATTAAGTTATACATGTATAGACAGAATTGATCTGAGGGGAAACAAAAGTTGCTTTCAGTTATTGAGAGGTTAGAGTTATCAAGGGTTTAAGTTACTGAGTGTAAATGTACAAAATCCAGGGGAAATTGATTGTTGTTCAAGTTACAAATGTACCTGTACAGCTGTAGGGTGAGGTTTGAGTTAGTGGGGGTTTGAGTTATCTGGAGTCAACCATTAAGTTTCATTAAAATGTACACCTGAAGCAAATAAAATTTCAACCATGTCATTGTACTGAACCATGACATCTGTTGTGGGAAGTGAGCTAATATTTGTTTAGTCTTGGTGTTGTACATTTACTTCTAACTTCTACAAATTTTCTGCTTCTTTCAGCAACACATACTGGGGAGAGTATCCACTGTCATTTGCTGCTGGACTTGGCTTGGAGGATATGGTGCGATACCTGTTAGCTAAAGGGGCGTGCCCCAATAAACGGGACACAAATGGCAACACTGTCTTACACATAATGGTTATTCATGACAAGTTGGTAAGATTAAACTTACTTATTTGGTATGATTACATTGTCAGGAATCATGCGTTAATGGTAGGGACCTTTAGCAATGATGATGGCATTAATTGTGAAAACTTGACCTAAAATTAGGATTTGCGCTGTTTTAAATTTCATTGGTCTTATTCCAACTCTTCTAGTTTGTCTGCATATACTGTAGGTTGGTGACTTATTCAGGAGTTACATTCTAAAGGACTTTATCTAACCTCTGAAACAGAACATTGTCATCTTGTGTTCCTGTCCTCCAATTCAGTGCATAAAATTGCTAGAAAATTGTAACATCACAGTGTTGTACACCTGTTTGACTTAAGGTTGCTTCATAGAAGAATGATGCATGGTCCATGTTTCATAGCCTGCGGTGCATTATTGTAGCATTAGTCTAGTAAATTCAGGGCTTCTGACAGGTCGCGGAAGAAAAAGTCAAATTTCGTAGGATTTTTAGGGACAAATTCGCGGAAAATCTGCCGATTTCGCGGTCATTTTGTGGAAGCTTTTGGGGCAAACAATCGGTAAAAAATGGCCAATTTTGTTGTTATTTTCAAGGCAAATTTCGCTACAAATCAAGCGGTTTTGCGCTGAACAGACCAGCATTTTTAACGTTTATCTAACAGAGGTCATCATTTGCTCTTTCAACAACAATATGCTCCAGAAATGAACCAGTGGCAAAGCCTTTAACATCATGGCTGGGGCCCAGTTTTTTTGCAACATATATAATGTACCCCTGTAGGGCTGCAAATAACGGACAGCAGGTTGCCAGTCATGATGACCGGCCAAATATTTTTTAGCCCGGACAAACCCCGATTCTGGCCGGTCAAATAATGAATACTAATAATTTTTTTTTTGCCTAAGGAATATCCAATTATGCTGGCAATAGATCGTTATTACTACATTGACGTTCACATTTTTGACAGCAAATTGGTGAAAAATGCATTGGCACGTTGTAGAGTTCCTTTCCGCGGTTTTCGTGCGTTTTAATGTTACGTTCTACCTTGAGTATCATTGCACGGCGGTGTCTGAAGTCTCTAGAGGTAAAAAGTGAAGCGTAAATCCTTTTCAAACTCCCAAGGTTCAAGAAACGGAATACACATACAGTTCAGCAAACTTTAGAAATTACGAAAAAAAAAACCAAAAAATTGGGTTATTTTACAAAATCTGCACACGCTTGTTTTACGTTGATGTTCCGAAATGAACATCGGTGAAACTTGATCTTTTTCCTTGCCTGGCACGTGATCGAAAGTCACTTCCTCAAAGAAGAATCGTCGCTGATATTTTCGGCAAAGAAGTTGATTTGCATTGGCGAGAAGTTTGTTCCACAAACAGCGTGTTGATGATCAGAAGTCAATAAATAAATTTGGGTCATCGCGCAACATTTTATCGCGAAGGCCGGCTCAAATGTCAACAGAAATTTGCATAAAGTTGTTTACAAGAACGAGAATCTAGCGCCGCGATGGACGACGACCTTCCCTCTTGAGTAGCTTAAATTTGTATCAGACCATTCTGGAATCCAGTCTGCAAACGAGATTCATGTTCGACATAAAAGAAATTATTAATAATCGATGCGCTCCTGAATGATCCTGAATTCCTTCGAATTCCCAGAGAAGGTCACATTGCTGATTGCAGGATCTTACAGCAAAGCCGAAAGTACAGTACGACTTGCAACGTTGCGTTACTTTCCAACTCAGTTTGTTATTCACTTTGTTGTGTTAGATTACGACATGACGACATGAAATTAATTTATTGCGGCGCTCTTTTTCTTAGAAGGGTTTAGTGCAAAGTAGCAAAAACGCCAAAGAAAAAAGAAATCATTGCAGCGTTATAGAGCATTAAGCGACAACTGTATGGAAAATAAAGTGTTTGTATCAAAAAATGACCGGTCAAAATGACCGGCAAGACCGGAGTTTGACCGGTCAAGTCCGCGATCAGGCCGGACATTGTCCGTTGACCGGCTGTTATTTGCAGCCCTGCCCTGTTAGTTTTGGGATGTTGTTTGCAGGTTTCAGTGATGAAGTTCTAAGATAATTTTGCAAGTTTACAGCAAGTAAATAGCCCCAATAGCTGAAATAAGTTTCAAATATGTTGTACAGACATGTATTTGATAAGATTTCTACCGAATTTTGCGGTATTTTTCGTGTTTTTGTAAATTTTGCGGGATTTCGCGGATTTGCCTGAATTTCATGGCTCCACGACCGCGCAAAATATCACAAGCCCTGTAAATTATGTGCGCACAACGAGCCTAGAAACCTAGAAAGCAAACGTTGCTGGCACTTCTATGCTATGTCAGCAGAACGTTAAGACAATGTATTTCAAAACACTAAATCCTAGGCTTTTTAATTTAAGACAGTGATTTGAGGTTAGGTTTTTCTCTGTGGTAATATTCAAAAGCTGCCAATTTTCAATAAGTTTGCTTGGCTTGTACATGTGGGAATTTTGGATGGAGTTAAAACAAAATCAATTTCGAGGCATTTGTTGAAGTACATAAATGACAACACTACGCGTTTATCTATTTTCTGACGCAATTTTTTTAAAACTGAATAAAACAAGAATAGGAATGAATAGCGTTGATTTTCTTTATTGAAATAACCTGCATTCTGGCCCATGCAAAAATGTAGCTTAATCAGGGGATAAAACCCTATTCATTTAATGCTGTTAAAAGAAGAGGCTTCTAATTTCTTAATGTGAGATTTTTAAAAAAATGCTTAAAAAAATGCTTAAGAATTGTTAGCAGCCATGTGACTTGAAAGCTCTCTTGAACAACTTTGTTAGCTTGTCACAATGGTCTCCATTGTTTCACTGAACGTGAGCAAGACTGAACTTCCCGCTAAACAAGGGTTTACCATTTTGCACTGCAGGCTATGAAACATAGTTCACGGGAGCAATCTTAATTGAAATTGGTGTATACAGTGTAATAAATTATGCTTTTGTCATTATCTTGTGGTTCAATTTTATCTTTGGTTTAAATTATATTTTCCTTTGTGTTGGGGTACAGTAATGTTTGACAATGAGTTTGATACGATGGAAAATAAAATTAAACCAAGGATAAAATTGAACTACGACATATGTAACTCTATTTTAAATTATTAATTTTAAAAAGTATTAAATTTCGTATTAAATGTTGTATTTCAAAGTTACACGTTTTCCCATTTGCGTACTAACCATAAATGGCCTCATTCTTCCACTTTAATAGTCTTTCTTCGTGAAAATGAACTTTCCAGAGGGGTCGGGGGGTCTTTGTCACACTTGTGTAAATTCCGAGGGGGTGGGGGGTCATCAGATCCCTGCAAAAATAATGAAAATCTAGGGAGGTGGGGGGTCCTTAGTGAAATTCCCTCTGTGGTGGGGGTCTGGATATTTTCTGGAACTACACAATTCAGGCCATGTGATGTTCTCCAGGGAATTAATTTGGCTTTTACTTTTTTCTTAAATCATGCATACAGTTTGGTATTATTATGCATGTGTATGCACACGTATAGGACTACATTTGATTTAAGCAGTTCTGTGGGGTACCATCTCCTGGTCTGAAATGACAGGAAAACAAAACATACAAGCTAAAAAGTCTATTTGCTGGGAAAATGTTGACCTTTTGGTGGGGTCCAATCCTCTCCCAGGATCTTACATTAATTTTGTAGATCTCACAGGCCTTCCACAGATTTGCATGAGGGACAAAATTTCTGAAAGATGTGAATGGTAGAAAATTAATTATTGTGAAATTTGAGAAGCAATAATGGTAAATTCGGACATTTTCAAGCTGAGATGCTGGTTTAAAGAGTTCAGTACTCTGTGACTTGAAAATTAGAATGCGATCAAAACTGTGAGATCAAATCAAAATTTTCCTAGATCTTAGATCCACGATTTTCTTGGTATCATAATTCCTCCGCACCTAGTTTGAGAAAAAACTCGTTATTTTGTAGAGTGAGTAATATTACCGAGGTTTTGTTTTCTTAAAAAAGGTACCTGTACTGTAAGTAAAAAATAATTGTTGTAAAATTGTAACATTGGTGTTGTTTGCATGTACATGGATAAATTTACTAGGACATGTATGACCTTATTCTTGATATTGGCTGTCGCTGTCCATGTGAATGTTCAAAGCCACTCACAGACATTGTCAACAGAATGGGTTTCACACCTTTGACCCTTGCTGCCAAGCTGGCTAGAAAAGAGGTAAACCTGTTAAACTCATGATAATATTCTAGTGCTGTTAGTCAGCTCAGCCATCAGCTTCTTGACTATGTACTGTACATGCATTCAGTTGGCTACAATGTACATTGTATTGTAAAACTGTGTAGACAGTAGGATGATTATACATGGATACAGTACATGCAGTCTGAATTATTTGCCAAAATGAGGTGATGTTAGGTTATGTTACAGGTCATTATATTATTATTAAAATTATTACTGATAATATGTACCTTTTATTAGCCGAGTTTTCAGTCCGTGATTTATGGCCCAAGCACAAAGCATGCGGGCCATAAATCATTGGAAAAAAATGAGGATCCATAAATATTAATTTACCGTACGGACCAAAAAAATGAGGCTAATAAGATGTTTATCATAATGGCTTCCTGTCATTTGACAGGCATCAGAAAATGAAAGTTTTTTAATTGGCTCACAGAAACAATAGCAAGGCTTTCCATTAAAAGTAAAATTGCCATGTTGAAAAAGTTTATTAGGCAATACTAAGGGCACTGTAAGTATTGTTACCTTATTTGTTAAAGGAATCGCTTGTTTTCTCTTAGGTAAAACTTTTCAAATCTTTGCCAGTCGATTTTCGTCTTTTTAGCTGTTTACTGCAATCAAATTTTCAAACACTGGTTAGAATCCTCTTCTTCAATAAAATTACGATTCAGTTTCTTCATTGCCTCTGTTAACAAGTAAACACAGGTTAAAAAGGTTGAAGGATGAAGTAAACATCCAAGTCCTGAAGGTTGACAGACGTCTTATAACTTTCTTTAAACCTTTTGTTCAAGATAAAGAGATTTAGAGCTGCTAAATGAGCATTTGCTTTGGAGATTTTGGTCCGTATAGCAATTTACGGACTGCAAATTGACCAATCACACTGTGAAAAACAGACTTAGCCATATGATAAAAATAATTATTATTTATGTTATCATCATTAATGGTGGTGTGTGAAAGGTGCATTTTATAACATTATCATAAGTGTTGTAATGGCTTAGCAGCTGAGTCATCGATGAGTAACTGTTGTTTTACTCCTAGTTTTTGGGGCCTTAGTTGTTCACCTCAAAGTCATGCAACTACAGTTGTAGCTGTGGCTTTGGTGAAAAATGAGTTAATAATGCATTTTGTGATGTGATACTCATGTAAATGACATGAAACACAGTTCTAATCTCTACATACAGTGTGCATTACGTGTTAGTGCATACTATAATTTTTTGGTCTTCAAATTACAATCATTTGCTTTATACCTACAGCTGTAAATGCTAGTGAATAATAAAAGTGTATTGATATACATTTATTTCTACTTTGTTTGTTTCAGATGTTTCATCACATACTTACTCGTGAGAGAGAAGTTTTTTGGCAGTATGGTGAAGTCACTTGCGCTGCATTTTCTCTTAATAATCTTGATACAGTAAGCAAACTTAATCCTACTAGATTTGCCATTACCTTTTGACATTAATTTACAGTAAATACCTGAATCATTTTTATAACCTTAATTGTAGTTTTCATGAATATTTTTGTTTTTATGGTTTTTCTTTGTTTTTAAGTTCATTTGTATCAAGTGTCTTATTTTCCATCCTTTGACCAATCAGTTCTTTTTGAAAATGAAAAAAAAAACCAAAACAAAAACAAACAAACAAATGAACATAAGTTAAGGGTTTCCTCGACTTAATGAATGCAAGACCGCAGCATCCTTTAAGGTGTAAGACAAATGATTCTTTATTAATGTAGATTACAACAACTAGTCACACAAATACATTTTAGAGGTCAAATTTGATTTTAGGTTAATTTTAATTTGACCCACAGTGGGTCGATTCTCAATCCTTTGTCTTCAAGGGCTAGGAGACAAAGGAGATTGAGAATCAAACTACGCTAAAACGTTTTTAAACATAAACTTAAATTTGACCTGTAACATGCATGCACCAACATTTTATTTTGTTCTGTGTAATGTCAGATTTTTGGAGAACATTTTGGTGCCCGCGCCGTTGGGCATGAATGAATGTTTTATTGTATTTTTAACATCTTTATTATCATATTTTAGGTTACCAGTGAAGGACACATCAATGAGAAATGTGCATTAAACATAATCACACATGAAGTGAGTTAAGAAATTTTCTACTGTACAGGCAGAGAGGATGTCTCTGCAAATTAAACATTTACACATACAATGTATTATCATTCAGTGCTAGTTATTTGTCCTTCTCATTGGCTCCAGGGCCCACCATGTAAACTGCAAATAACTGTGTATGAAAAATGATCTGCTCATGTGCAATCAATGTCATCTAACTGAGCTGGGCTGCAAATAATATTCTGCTCATGCATGAATGAAAAAACTCATTTCTCCTTTTTGCGATCCCTCTTGTGTAAAAATGGCAGATTGCTTTGCGAGGATATTCCTTAAAAAATGATTTAACAATAATATTATTGAACATGTATGTGTACAGTATAACCTCTCCTTACAGACACCTCTCTATTATGGACAGTTCGTTTGGTCCCAGAAATGCCAAAAATCATACATCCCTACCAGTCTATAATATGGACACCTCGGTAAAGTGGACACTTGGTTCTGTCCCTTTGGTGTCCGTATTAAAGAGATGTGACTGTATGCCCCTAGGCTGAATTACAAAATCCATGCATTGTTTTGCATGTTGAGGAGGTAGCATGTCTCTGTATGTATTTTACTACTGTATCAGCTATTGTTGTTGTTACTGTCCTAGTTTCAACCTTTCTTTATGATGCTTGTCGCCATCTGTCTGTCTTATGTTGCTGTTTCAAGGCCATATGTTGCCTGTTGGAATTTTACCCTAACATGGCCTCATCAATGTCAAGCATTATGTTCTCAGTGGTTGGCTCTGCTTAATTACATAATGTATCTTTGATACTTGAAGCTAGCTGCGAATCTTGTTTCATGACTTTTGTCTTTGTTGTTATTGTTCTTTTGAAGGAATCTGTGCCTCATTTGGACCTTTTTGATGGGATTCTGTACAATTTGCTCAAGGAGAAATGGAAGCATGCCTGCCGCTACAGGTTTGATGCAAAAGACAATGTAAATATGTACATAAGACAATGTAAAAGGGAAAGGGAACTGGAAATCATTCAACACTAGCCTTTCACTCGGTCAGTCTAGTCTGTCGCAGAAGCCCATTACAAGGATTGAGCTCAGAACTAATTCCATGTACACTCGTGTCACAACATTTTTACCGACCAGCGTTTGGTTTGAATTTGGAATATCTTTTGAGTCCCACAAACCAGTCTGCAAAAACTACAGACCATAAAATGGTATTTTGGAGCATTTCATGACCTTAAGTTTTCCTTTTGACATCTTATACTTTAAATGCACTTTTAGAGGGAATGTAACATGTACTTTCCAATTACGCGCGAAAGGGTGCTCGAAATTATGTCTAAAAATAAACTGGTCCGTTAAAATGCTGTGAAAATAACTCTTGAATCACTAACAATTGTTTAGGAAAGGTCTTCGTTTCTTCTAAATGGCATGGCAGATGCCACTAGCTGTGCTAACTTCCTTGTGTCAGAGGGGGCGGAGCGTCTTGAAACGTGGGGGGGGGGGGGGGGGCTCACCTCTCAGTTAGCAATGTGCATACATACCCCCCCAAACCTCTTTGCAATCTTCGCAGTGTCTACTGTGTCCGTAATCAATTTGTGACAATGCATCAGTAGGCAGTTATTCAGGCGGCCCTGTTTCGTGGTGCTTCTTAGGTAGTTGTTGAGTCGTCTGAGGGTAAAAAATGTGCACTCTGATGCCACCAATGCCACAGGTTATGTCACTTGCTATATTTTCGGCACCAAAACGTGTGCCCCCCCCCCCCATTTTTACTTTTAGGGACCACAGCCCCTCCTGCCTCTTGCTCCACCGCCTATGAGTGGGGATGAGGGCGCAAGATTGCCGTGTAGGTTGAGGGGAGGTACTAAGTATTGAATTAAAAGCAATGTTAAGCTAAGATGTATCTAAAGTACATATATTATTACTGTTATAATAATTATACACATATAATAATTATAACAATAGCTTGTTGTGAAAACCTAATACCAATGAGATTTTAATAATACAGCAGGATACCTTCATAAATTTTTGGCCAGGTCTTGGGTTCAGGTACTATTATCAGTTTGTCAGTCAATCAGACAGTCGGTTATTCAGACATTCATTTATTGACACAGTCAGCTGGTCATTCGGTTAGTTGGTCAGACAGTAAACCAGACCTTCATGAAGACGGTCTATCAGATGGCCAGTCAGTCAGAGTGTCAATCAGACAGTCAGTCAGTCAATAATCAGCCAGACAGTGAGAAAGTTAGTTAATGAATGAGGTAGTCAGTTATTTAGACAGTCAGACAGTCAGTTCATCTTTTGTGAGAGGAGAGCTAGAGTCACTCGGTTCGTCCGTTTGTCAGATCTTTAGTTCATTAGTTTATGGTATTTACAATGAAAAACCACCAAATTTTGAAATACAGGTAGTCATTATTACTCTAAGGTCTCCTTTAGATCATAAACTCTTTTCTTTTCGTTGAATTGTGCAGCTCGATATAATCTTTATATTGTATGTCGTTACTTTGGTATAAACTATCGCAATTACTTTCGAGTTTGGAGTCGCTCCAATTATTCTTTTTCTCATTTCCAGGTTTTATCAGCTTCTTGCCCTGTATGTTGTCTTTCTCATCGTCTTCAGTACTGCAATGCTTCTCCGCCCGATTGAAGTAAGTCTGCAGCATCCTGCTTCATTAGTACAGTCAAACCCAGTTAATACAGTCACTGAGGGGGCCATAGATAGTGTCCGTATAAAATGGGTGTCCGTATTCGTTTACACGGCACCGCACGAATTTTTAACCGGTTGAAAATTCGTGTGTGTAGGTGTTCCGTTCACACTTAACGACTTTAACCGTGGGGAAATTTAGCCGGTCAATGTTCCTTGTGAACAGAGCGAAAATATTTCACTGTCCCTTGCCAACGAAGTGTTCGGTCAAATTTTTTTTAAGCCGGTCGAAAATTCGTCCTTAGCCTTAACGGATGAGAGTGCATATTTGTAAGATTTTTTAATTTAATTTGGACAGGAAGTGGGCTGCGTTGATGAACTCAGTGATACACTGAATAACTCTACTGGAGGTTTGATGGGGATCAATGGTACATCTGCTCCTATTAAATGCGATGACTGTTTCCTTCTTACCACAGTTGAAACAAGCACCACTCAACAGGTCAGAACACACAGACAATCTTGATTTTACCGTTGTCAATAACCAGCGCGTGCTGATCTTTTACCATAATTAATCAACTTGGGTATAATCCCTTGTAACCCTTTGTAACCCCCTATAACCCCTTGTAACTCTTGTAACCCATGTAAACCCTTATGAGCCCATGTAACCTCTTGTAAAAACTTTAGAACCATGTAACCCTTGTAGAGAGAGAGAGAGAGCGATGTAAACAAAACTCAATGTACTGTCTTTTTTCCACAGGCTCGAGCTGCTTTTGAAATCCTTACTTTGCTGTTTGCATTTTTCTACATTCTTATTCTGATCCGGGAGATCATCTTTCAAGAAGGAATCAAAAGCGTGTTCTGGGGATTGGTAAGGTTCCCTTATTACTAAAGTTTTACCTGGGGGGGGGGGGGGGGGGAGGGGAGTTGGGGTGAGGTTGGGGAGTACCGTATTTATTCGATTAACCGCCCTGGGCGCTTATTAAATTTTTGGACCTTGAGAGTGGGCGCTTATTCGAGGTGGGCGCTTGTTTGAGGCTGGGCGCTTATTAAATTTTCACCATTTTGAGCTGAGTGAAGTATGTGTATTTTGCAACAAAACAATAAATGCAATAACAAAACGCAAAGAAGTAACAGAGCAAGGTTTCTGTAAAATGCTCTGAAGAAAACTCCGTCCTCGGGGAAGTCTCTTATTAGAATTTATTCACTCAAGTGGGTGGAGTGGGGGTGAGCACTTATTTGAGTTTGATTGGGAGTGAGGAGGGGGTGGGCGCTTATTCGAGGCTGGGCGCTTATTAACTTTTTCTGCCTTTAGGATGGGCGCTTATTCGATGTGGGCGCTAATTCGAGGTTGGGCGCTTATTCGAATAAATACGGTAGGCCAATGGCTAGTCATATAATATGTGAAACGTTGTTCACAGATCTGTTCAGAGCCTTGAGTATGGTTCAAGACTGATGAAATGTAACGAAATGTGAAAATATTACATTGCTTGTGGAGCCGTCTCTGCTCGCTCCTCGCCGCTGGGGACGTTTCGCGGGAGAGACGTCTGCGCTTCAACAACAGAAATGTAGTACTGATGACGTATATCACTGTTTGCATAATTAATCCTAATTTTTCGAGATTATGTTTTTACTCGTGATGTTTTGAGTTCTTCTGGGAAGGAGTGGTATAAAATTAAACCTTGAGTGATTCCTCTGAAGAAGAATATAGTCCACTTATAATTACTGTTTTGCAGTAGGTAGATTCATCGCGTTTACATTTGACCTTTGTGGTCTTTTGTCTGTCATTCGTAAACAATAGTTAAAAGAATATAATTACTACTTCGACGAATAAGAGCGATTTTACGTCCTTAGTGTTGCATTTCTGTCTCCTTTATATACCGGGGTTTCATCGTAGAATTATAAGGGCTCCTATTTCCATTGAAGAGCTTGGTAACATGGGAAACAACACGAACCTTTTTCAGCAAGTATCTTGTTGCTGCTCAAGCGTTTTCAGTTTTTTTAATCCGCTGATTGTCTTTATGCAACCGTGGTTGTTGTATTTTCTCTGTTAGGTCCGCACACCTCTTCGGCTCCTGTTCACACTGTCTTGTGTGCTTCTGCTGGCTTGTTTAATCACCCGATTTACGTGTAAACCTCACACCGAAGATCATTTAGCAATCGCTGCTCTGGTGATGGCCTGGCCATACTCTCTCATGTTTTGCAGGTATGTAGGAACCCAAATGTTTTTCTTCCTTGCACTCTTAGGGAGGAGTCAACTTGGGATTTCGTCAAGGCAGCCTTAAGTAGCGCTGCTCGCTTGCTAGAGTGTCCGTTCAACTGTATTCGAAATACTCATACTATGAGTATTTAATAATAAAGGATAATGATAATGACTAGTATCATTAACCATAAACGGATCGCAGGTGTTTTTTGGAAGAGAATGTCCACTTTAAATTGTACTTTGTAAGCTTACCAATTCGTGACTTTAGATACGAGAGGAGAACTGGAACCGAAGCGCGTCTTGCAATTGTTTCTGGCATCGTTACAGGGGCTCGCATGTGTTTCGCACATTTTACTTATTATTATTCATTGAAAGTATTTTTCCGTTTCTGATTGGCTAAATGCCACCAAATTTGGAAGAATTTTGCGATATGTGAACTGATGACGTCAATCGTGCAGCAAAATGGCCAGATTATTGAACGTTTAACCGAGAAGACCTCGGGACGAGGTTGAGTTGTTTTGATAGTGAATACAGAATGGTGGAACATTTCACTCGTTTCACGACGAAGAAAGAACAGCAAGAACAGCATAAAGGCAACTTGACGGACGACATCTGCTATTTGGAGAATATTTGCAGCACTGAACAACCCTTTATCTCCTAAACTTGCCGATAAACTATCGAAGAATAAACATCGATGGAGGTAAGCGTGTTTTAGTTTGTTTTGAGACTAGACAATATTTTGAATGAATAATAAAACAATTATTGAATTCGGCATTCCTGTCATCTGAGAATCATGCAGATGATACTCAGCCTCATTCAGTAATTTCTGATTATGTTCCTGCGTGTTTGTGTTTCAGGGGCTTTGCTCTGGTTGGACCGTTTGTGGTCATGATTTATCAGATGCTTAAGAAAGATTTCCTGATTTTCTTTGTCATTTACTTGATTTTTGTCATCGGATTTTCACAAGGTAAGTGGACTGTTTGTCGAATTCATCAGAAGTGCGTCATCACTCATAGACAAACTCAGTAACAGGACTGATAGTTGTTTTTTGGATTTGCTGAAAATAACAGCATTCATTAATTGGACACCGTCCATCGTCCTCTTCTTTCTGCCGCTCTTGTTGCGTAAATTCACTACGTACCGGTGGTATTGATTGCGTAATTTCACATGTGTTTCTATTTTTATGACATATTTTCAGCAATGTTCCTTGTCATGAGGGGTTATGAAGATAGCACGATACAAGAAAATCTTTTTACGCGCTGGTTTGCTGCGGGGCTAGGAGTAATCATTCTCTCGTTAGGGGAATTTGAGGTATATTTCCACTTTTTTAGTATCGCCATTGCGGCCATCAGTTTGTCTTAGGCTGTATGCACTCTATACCGGATAGCACGCGGGCACGAAAACCATAACGAATCAAGGGATTCTGTTCACACATAAGAACGGTGATTTTCGCGCGATTTCCGTAACGGAGCGAAGCGTCACGTATCGGATAGTTGTTCACACTCTACCGGCACGAAAAGCTACCCGGTATAGTGGGGACGGATCAGTTTTGGTTTCTGGGAATCTACCCGCCTACCCCTCCCCTAAGCCATCATTTTGCCTTAAGTGAGAAGTAAGTGTTAATGTTAGGGGAGGGGTAGGTGGGTAGTTTCTCACAAATCTAAATTAATCCTGGACATAGCCTTAGTCTAGCCTGCATGGCAAGTACCGGGGAGGACGTTGGGGGTGGGTTGGGGGAGAGTGTAGGGCATTATTATTCAGATTCCGTGAGAGCGGTTGGTTGAGAGTTCAATGCTATGATTGAATGAAGCTTGAGGCTAAACTAGAGCAAAACAATTTGAAGTGTCAGCAACGCTGGGTGACTCTCAACTGTTTTTTTTTCTACTTTCAGTTGTTGTATGAACAGGTGGCGAATTCTAGATCACCATTCAGGGTTTTGGGTTTGGTAAGAAAATTCAACTTTACTCTATTTCTGTGTGATTCGTCAAACACCTATATCGCTTACAATGGTTAAATATTAATAGTCCTCATTTTGATAAAATTAACAAAAATTACCGCTGAAAATATCTGTTCGGAAGACGAAACATTTAACATTTTAGTAAAAGCCCTCCTAAGTTTTCCCAACATCTAAAGAATGGATAAAATTCATTTTAACGGACTTTTACCCAAAAAAAAAAGAATTTTGCCTTTGTTCCCCGAAAAGGTAAGTTTTGATCGCTATAATTTTTGGAACTAGATTTTCAGCCAAAACCGAACAGATGTAAAATTTTAGGAGATAAAAATGGCCTATATCTACCATTAAAATTTACGTTTAAATGCTATTTTTAAGTGGTTTTGAACTATATTCTCGTTCGGTGCCCCAGACTACAACATTTTAGTATTGAAACTCGTCGTCGTTCTCGTTGTCGTCCTCTTCTTAGAATCTAAGCTCTTTATTCTTCCTAAAATTCATAGTAGATTGACAACGGCTATCATCGCTTTTTCCCGCCAAAATGACGCTGCTTCATTCTTCCCAAAACTCGTATTATATTGACTTAGTATTGAGAAAATCTCGTACTCGTAGTTGTCCTAATCTAAAGGTCTCTACCGCCGGTATAGACTGTCAGAAACGTAGGCTACCTGAACTTTAATTCGGTCTTAGAGAGTTCAGAGAGAAGCACAGGCGCATATCGTGAACGACTTTTCATGGTCTAGAGCCTCTCATCCTTATCTTTCACCACTAACAGTTTTTGTTTTTATTTTTCGTGTTGTCATAGATCATGTTTTTCTTGTTTATTATCCTTGGTGCACTGTTGATCGTAAACATGTTAATCGCTATGATGGGTAACACATATCTCATGGTCGCAGAAACAAAGAAGGAATGGACTCGACAGGTAGGGAAAATTTTCCTTTCGTTCACCGCATAAAGTCATTAATTGTAGGTTGTACTGGTACATCGTGAACGTGTAACTGAACCGGGTAACCCTACATTGGACAAGACTCCCACCAATGGATAGTATTAATATATGTTGTCTGTTATCGCTACAGAATTGAAACGTAACTTTGGCGCTAACCTTTCTATTGACAGGGTTCGTACAGAGTCTTGAATTTTTGAAAAAGTCATGAAGTTTGCTCAGCAATTTTCCAGACCTGGAAAGAGTCTGGAAAATGGAGAAAAAGTCTGGAAAAATGGTTATAGGTCTTGAGTTTTCTTTTCAAAGCTACAACAAGTGCTTGAGAAATGAAATTTTTTTTGTTTTGTTCATATGTTATTCATTCAAATTTACCCGTATGTTTTCAGCGTTTGATCACCTAACTTTAGTCTGGAAAAAGAAATTATTGTTTTGGAAAAAAGTCTGGAAGAAGACTTGAATTTTGGATCCAAAAATCTGTACGAATCCTGTATTGACTTCTGTGCCACTAACATTCGAGTCACTGTGGAATTCGTAAATCTGTCATACTACTGGCAGTAACCCAGTGATTGATAAGTATCCCATAAGGATGGATGGGGCGGGGGAGGGTATTAAAACTTCTCAACTTCTCAACCTCTCAGCACTTCATACCAGAGGTACCGAGTGACCATCCGTCCGTGTGGTCCCCCTCTGGTTCGTCTTAACTTTATTGTAGGTCTTCTTTCTGCACTTATTTTTGTCTCGTTTGAATTTGGTTGTTCAAAGGGAGAATGACGATAGAATTGTCAGTCTTAATGACAGTACGTACAGCTTCAAAAGTAACTCGACACGGAAAGTTACACTTCGTATTAGACTATTGTGATGCGTGTAAAATTTTGTTTTTTCTCCCTAGTGGGCGCGACTTGTGCTGGCAACAGAGCGCATGCTCACACCTAAACAGAGACTTGTTGCGCAGAAAAAGTATTCACAAAGTCTGAGTACAAGTGGCGAGAGGGCGCTGATCATGAGACTGCGGAATCATGAAAATCGCCAACAGGTGGGTAGTGGGGAGGGGAATTTGTTGTCACTGTAGAAAATAAAATGCACTGCAAGATACAGTCGACTCCCGATAATTCGAACCTTCAAGGGAAATAGAAAAAAAGTTCGAGTTATCGGGAGTTCGAGTTATCGAGGGTAAAATTATATAGAAAACGATCTGAAGGGAAATGTAAATTACTTCGAGTTAGCGGGAGGTTCGAGTTATAGAGGGTTCAAGTTACCGGGATTCGACTGTAGTTCTATTTGTGTGAATCATGGGCGACCAAAGTCCTCAATTTTAAAGGTCATTAGTGACCTTAAGAGACGCCAATTCTCCTAGACTTTCTCAAAGTCCTTCGCTTCTCGTTTCCGGTTCCGGTAGTAGGCCAAAGCGCGAAGAGCTCCCGCTCTCTCGTTCGCTTTGCCACCTAAAACATGAAAAATTTCGAGCTCGCGCTTTGCGCTGGAGAACAATTTTGAGCTCGACTTGTAGGAGAGTCTACAGTTTTGCCTTTTGGGTAGGCGAACATGTTTGCCACGTAGTTATACAAATGGCAACCATGATTTCCCATTCTCTGTTCTACCCGGTAGCCTACCCGTGTCTCCGGGGTAAGAAACAATCCACCCGTACGGGTAATTTACCCGTACCCGCACACGAAACGGTACATCTTAAGGTCTCTATAACAATCTACCGTGTACGGCTAGTGTACGGCTAGTGTACGGCTACCAATGTTTGCGGTTAGATCATGCACGACAAAATTGGCCTACAGAGGTTATCAACTTTCTCACTTTGTGAAAAATCACCACTAGCCATTACAGCGTAGGAATGTCATTCACAGGATCAAACAGCACGACTCTTTTAATGGTGACTGAACATTACACCCTAGCAACAAAATATTTATCACAGTTCTTCTTTTTTTTTTTTTTGAAAACTGATCTGGGGATACGCGCCACTATCCTCTGGTAATGACATTTCTGGGGTAGTTTGAGGGCTTCTTCTTTTCAATTGCTTAAATTGGAAAATTTACTGCGATGATCATTCTTCACTTTCATCGGACCGTTTAGAGTTATGATGGGCCTTTTTTTCAAAAATACCATAGTACTTGTAGTTGTCCCTCCAAAATTTTGCATTGAAAACAATTCTTATGCAAAATTTTGGAGGGACAACTAAGAGTATTATGATATTTTTGAAAAAGGCCTATTGGGTTTTGAGTCATAATGATAGTTGATACTGAAAACCCGCATTGACCAATCATAACTACATAACTAACGCTAGTTACCCAAACTATCCCAGAAGTCCAAGTGCTAAACTCGGTTACCTGGATTCCCGAATCACTATTGTTGTTTTGTGTTGTTTTAGAGTCAAGTGTCCCACGATCCAAAGCAGCAAGCGAAAGCCAACAGGAAAGTTTCCGCAGTGCCTTTACCGAAGATGGATTATAATTGGCTAGACACTGAATAGTTGTAGACCGTTCACAGTCTCCTATTTTTCTGTTAGATCGCCGAGATCGAACGTCTACTCTTATGGACGGCCATCTTGGTTTCAAGTCTAACCTGGATGTGAATATCAAATCTATTAAGGGGGCAAGGAACGATTTGAGAGGAGGCTAGAAAAATGCGTTTTCTCGCTCCCCTCCCCCCATAAACGCTATAAACCCAGGGGCCCGTCTCTCTCGGTACATTTGACACAAAGATGTGTGCCCGTAACAGTGTGCGTTCCATCTCGATTACCTTACCACAAGATAGGAAACTATGAAAAGTCTTCTCAGTTTGTTATTACCTGAATCAATTTTTTGGAGGATGATCAACGCAAATCCAGGTTTAGTTTCAATGACAACTTATTTGCCGTGTTTGTATTTAAACCTGGAGTTAGGGCTGGCTTGCCTTCGAATAACTCGGCCCTGGCGCCCGTTTCGCGAAAGTGCCGACAACTTTTTGGGCCCGAAAAATTATTTTATGTTTGCTGTGTTTGCATTCATGATGAAAGTTTCAATAATTTTGATAATGATAGAATGAAACTATCAGTTAAAGAAGAAAAATTGACCGGTTTATGAGCTACAGGAACTGTTACTATTCAACAGGTTTGATTTTGAATTTGCCTTTGGGCCCGAAAAGTTACCGGGCCTTTCGAGAAACGGACGCCTGATTATATTAATTTTAATCCTTTAACCACTGATATGTACACACAAATTCTCTAAACTGATCTCCGTACATTTTCTTAAAGAATCACTTGACAGAATTTGTTGAAAGATCCAAGCATTTTGCCTTGGTGATAATTTTTTAATTCTCCTAACCTTTTTTCTCATTATTATGTATTTATATTATATAGGGAAAATTGCTGTTGGTCACTCTTAAGACTTAAGGTTAAAGGGAAAAGTGTCTTGCACGCACGTGGGTTCCGTGGAAATTATCCGCCTGAAGTGAAAAGAAACATTTACCAAAACAAAGCCGAAAAGTTGCAATATAGCCAACTCTCTTTATAGCGGACACTCGAGTTAGTGTCTTCATTAGTGAGAGTCCGTAATAGCGAGAGTTTTTTTTCAGTCTAACGTGTGCAATTTGTTTTTGCCGGGGATTTAGATTCTGTTTGTATTTGCGGTGTGTCCGCAACTCGAGAGTTGACTTTAATAGTCGGAATAGAACCTATGAAACAGGGTTCCGTTTGTTTCTATGACTCTAACTAGATATTTTAAATTTTAGAATTTCCCCACTGTGCAAAACTCGGCGCTGCGGGCAAAGCTATTAGGTAAAAAAAGGATTTAAAAACGGCATATTTCGTGGGGAAAAATCTAAGGTGCATGTAGAGATATCATTTAGTGATGATAACGCATTATCTTTTTGTATGGTTTACCGACTGTGACTGAATAATCGGTACGTATTTTTATTACGTTGCGAAGGGGTGTCACTATTTATACAGGATGTTAACGTCACGACACGAGAAGTATTTCGTACTTATTTTTTGATTTCTTGCTCGTGTAACCAAGTTGCATAAGCCACACATTATATTTGAACAAGAGTCGCCGAAGACTCTATTGACTTTCCTCCTTGTTAGTTCACAGCCACAATTTGTGGGGTCACACAGACTGCCAGCAATCTCTCAATAGCTTTAAAGAACGTTCAACCCCTAGGAGAACCTCTTTTCTATGTCTTATTGGACGATTGGCACAGGAAGTCTTTTAGCAGAGTAATAGAGTTACTTTGTGAGGACAAATTTAGGATCTTTTTTCTGCGATGATCGAGAGACATAAGACGTTAGGTCGGCAGTTATTTATATATTTATGTATTGGAATGATATTTATAGCCTAGAAGGCCCTATATTTATATTTTTTGTGTTCAGTGATCTTACACGCACGCTACAGGTTAGTGTCACACTCACAAATGCAAAATAAAAGTTTTTTTCAGATAGAGTTCGTTCAGTGCTTACCCCATTTGTGTACGTCTACACTGGCCGTTTTTATGCTACAGTCGCATTATCCGTCTGGGCGAACTTGGGCAAACATTTAGTAGTTCGTATGGTTCTGCGTCTCAAGTATAAAGACGGGCACAAGACACATTATGCCTCTGGACGAATTATCGTACGTCTTGAACGACGCACCTCGAAAGGTAGTTCGTCCGAACGGATAATGCGTCTTGTGCCCGTCTTTATACTTGAGACGCATCACCAAACGAACTACAAAATGTTTGCCCAAGTTCGCCCAGACCGTTCATGCGACTGTAGTATAAAAACGGCTATCCCCTTTGTCTACTTCTTTTGTTTGCAGCGTAGCTTGTTCTCAGGGCCTTCTCTTCACTGAAAGAGAGGAAAGACAAGTGGCCCTGTAAAGGAGGCTCTGATGAATGACGTTCTCGGTCACGAGCGAAGTGGTGAAGCTACCCCCCTCCCCTTGGGGGGATCGAGAGGTTAGGAGGGTGAGGAGGGGAACAGAGGAGGAAAAGATAAAGGAATCCCAGATCTACCCTCAAGTAACAAACAATTTTACAAGTGAGGATTTGACTCTGTAGTTTTCATGGGATAACAATTGTTGGTTACATCTAAATAAACCCAAGCATTCGTAAAGGAAAGATTTTTATGATGACCACGTGCAGGGTCCAGAGGAGATGTGGTTGTCGTTAGAACATCAAAACCCGTCGAAAACCTCTGAAAAATGGGTTATTTTGATCGCGTTGCATTTTCGTTACACATTCTATTTACCGCAAACCAAGCCCTAAGGGTGTGCCTCGGTCGCCCCTCCGGCGACGTGTCGTGCGCCAGCTAGGATATAGCTTGCGGTTATTGATTTTCAAAATGGCGAACAACAAAGTCGATCTGGGTCAGATAAGAAGCGAAGAAATCGTTTACGGTAGATTCATAAAGATTCCATTGGGCTAATTAATCGTGCTAAGCGACAGGTATAGACATTTTTTAAGGTGAGACTTTAAATAAGTAATTCATTTATTCACACGAAACTCCTCTGGACCCTGTGTGATGACTAGTAAACTTCAAACCTCAAACCGCAGCAACAAAGTCGAACAAAGTTTTAACTTCCGCATATAAATTGTTCATTACGGCGAGAATTAAAAAATGTTATCCAAGTAACGATATGAAGGGAATGCATTAACATGGGTGATGGCAGAAGTGACAATCAGGGTTAGAACTTAGGACCAAGAATAGAATTTGCGCCGCCCAAATTGTATGTCACTGAGAAAATCCTTCACTAATGTAAAATCCTGGGCTCGATATCAAGTTTTGATAATCACGACTGTTTATAACAACTCCGAGTAGTTGTGAGAACTAACAAAGCGGCTGTCTGCTGCTAGAAGGCGGGGCTACACGCGCATAATCAAGTAAGCGCGCGAAACGGTTGCGCTGAACCGCAGCGAAATCTTAGGAGAGCAAACTTTATTTCGGCCATCTTTCTGTCAATAATTACGATAATAACTACCTTGGGTGCCAGAGACTTTTCATGCGTGGTTTCAGTCCATTCTTTATAAGCATCCTGCCGCACGCGAGAAAATACCTCAGGTGCCCAAATAACTCGAGCTAATCGAGGCGGGTTGCTAGAACAGTTGAAATGATTTATTACATGGACATATTCATATTTGCTCTCTTTAGTATTAAAACCTTTGCTTTAAGAGGGCTTGAAACTAAAGAAAACAATGCAGCTGCTGGAGTTTACAGTACGAAAAATGAACGTATGAGTAGTTTGTATCGTCATTAAATCTGATTCCATTGTTATTTCGGATCAATTTAGGTTTCTGGAAAACTGCCCACCTACCCCTCCCCTAAGCCAACATTTTGTTCTAAGTGAGCAGTAAGTGTAAATGTTGGCTTAAGGGAGGGGTAGGTGGGCAGAGAATTATTTACCCAGCTACTCCCTAAATTGTACAACACGAAGATTGTCATAATCATAATCATAATCACGATCGAAACAGTCACGTAACAATTATCAACATAACTCCCCAACACACACCTGTTACCTTAGTCTCATCTTAATAGGTTTAACTCCTGGGTCAAAGGTGTTTTCTGAAGATATGTAGCTCTCGCTAGGATGCCTTGAACAAGATGAAATTTTTCCCAAAAGTTGATCATAAGGTCTTCTTGTGCCTTAACGTAAGGTTATGGTATTTAGTAGGATCAAAAAAATTCAAAATTTGAAAAACCGTGGTCCCAATATTGTCTCACGCCTTCCTTAAAACTTTCACATCTGCGCTTGTTCCCAGCTTTCGTCAATAGGCCAGTTGCACTAAGAGGTCACGTGACCAATGCTTCCTTTAAACGATGAGTTGGAATCTTGCTGATGCCAAAAATTGACAGAGCACATAAAAATTATCTTACACCTGAAATCTGAGAGGAAACGCATTTTAGGGAGATATTTTATGGCACTTTGATTTTTCAACAAAGTAGTATGATTTGTATTGGCCGCCATGTTGGAGGGCATACTCTTGCCCTCCAACATGGCGGCCAAAACTACTTTTTGCTTATATCTTGTTAAACGTTTGATAGTTACTCTCAGATGTGCTCTAAACGTTACCACATCATCTTTTCAACATTTCCCTGGAACTTTAAGTGCAAAATTTGTGTTCAGAACTGAGGTAATTCATAATTTTAAAATCACATTCTGGTCACGTGACCAGCTACGAACTTACTCATTTGAAGGAAATGGTGCGGGTTTGAAAAACCAAATCACTATTATTTTGTTTAAGATATGACCCCCTAATCGTTTTTTGAAGGCAAAATCATATAACTTTCATTTTCATAAAAACGATGTCACATGACCTCTTGGTGCAAATGGCCTATCCGCCCAAACCTTCCATTTTGTGCAACACCATTATGGCTTTAATTCAGGCGTTTAGTGTCTTAATGTAAAAGTTCCTCAATAAGTCTCCGTTAGCTAAACGAAACGTGCAGGAAAATAAACAAGTTTTACAGCTACAGGTCGGAGAGTGTTGCTCACCAGTTTACTTTAAAAAATTAGGAAAAAAAACAATAATTCAATGTTGAATGTGTGCATTTAAAATTGCTTCTCGTAGTTTTTTAATGAATTGCAATGGAGAGTCATTCCAAACGTGAGGTGTTGAAAAAAAAAAAAAAAAAATATATATATATATATATAAATGAGAAAAACCGTCTTAATTGATACCTTTTGCTCACGATTGTCACTGAATCATTTAATCAGAAAAATGGTTTAGGTCACATATCACGTGACTTCACAACACAATATTACACTTAACAATGTTAAGGGCGATGAGTTCTTTATGTGTGCTTTTAAAATGAAGTTGCTTCTCGTAGTTTTTTACTGAAATCGAATGGAGAGTCATTCCAAATGTGAGTTGTTGAAAATATTAAAAAAAAAATGAGAAAAATCGTATCACTTGATACCTTTTCCTCACTATTGTCACTGAATCATTTAGGTTTTTCAGATGAATGGTTCAGGTGGTATATCACGTGACTTCACAACACAATATTATACTTAAACATGTTAAGGACGATTAGTTCTTTATGTGTGCAAAATTTCTATTCGGTTCCATCCTCTATGCCAAAGTTATAGCCAATGAATTATTTTCCACAAAAAACCAACAAAAACCATGAATAATAGAAAGACTAAACAAAACTTCGGATCTAAGAGGTTGAATGGCTCTCGATAATGTGACGTCACATTTTTGCACTATGTTGGAACTGATCTCGTCAGCCAGTTTCCTATCCAGTCTTTCTACTTGCCTGTGTTTTATTTTCGGCCGCGCGCGACAATGAGCTCGCGCACGCACCACGCTCGAAGACATTAGGAAAGGAATTATACATCACAATCCGAAACTACGTAATTTTTTTTAAAGCCTAATCACAGCTAACGCAGCTTGTGTGAGGAGATTTTGGAACGTTTACAGTGACTTTTTGATATTCCAAAGTTTTGTTAAGCACCATGAATGTTAATCCAAGTAGAAAACGGAAACTTTCGGTTACTTCTAAATACGCGCCATCATCGTGTGGCCTGCAAGATGAAAACGATTGCGTGCCTGGCAAAGCCAGAAAACTCGCAGCACCATCAAAGGTTAGTGTCTCACTTTGCTTAACGTTTTGAATCATTTTTCTTTGGTTATATCTCAGTGTGTTTGTACTGAATTTAACAAGAGTGATACAATTTACTTGTTTCTAGAAATTTCAGCCAAGTGCAATTGAGAAGTCCACCGCGGACACGGTTTCAAAAAGGTTAGTGGTTTGGAATTTTCAACTTTTGATGACTGCGAAATTAACTTTGAATGGCGTGTTAATTTTTTTTTATCATTTTTTTTCTTTCTCTTAGCCTTAAAAGAGCCCACAGCGAGACTGAATTAGACACAGAGACACCACGGAAAAAGATCTTTTTATCCGCACCTAAAGTAAGTTTTTTTATATACTTCAAGCGCACGGAAGGGTCCAAAAGTCAGACATTTTAAAATTGAAACTCAGCTTAATTATTGATCATTTCCTGTTTCCATCCTATGTGAAGTTCAGTTATAGGCAGATTTATTAACAAAATGCATAATGTGGCCATGAAAGATTTAATTTGAGTCCGTGACTTACAGAAACATTAGCGCACTCAATAATTAAAAACTTTGACGCCTGCATGTGTTGTCGCCTAGGAAACCAATTTGACTTCAATCATAAGTAACCATAGTTACGTAAATGATCCTGTTCGTTATTGAACGCAGGAGGAAAAAGTATATAATAGCCGTTGCTCCAGGGAAGTCAGAAAAATCTTTTAAAGTATTCTTGCTTCCTGGAAAACTCCGAAACAAAGCCTTTTCTATAGTTTAGTTACAATACGGAAAAAAATTCTTATGATGTTTTCTGGCGTAGCAAGACCCTTTACAATAACGATAAAAAATTATCCCTAGGAAAAGAAAGAGGTTGCTGATGACAAGAAAGGAAATTCAGTCCCTGGAACTAGTGGAACGCATCAAGTGGCGACTGGCAACAAAGGAAATCGCCACAAAAAGACGCGAAGAGGTACTGACATATATACTATTAAATTATTTAAGAGGAGTGTGGAAAAGCGAGGTCCCTTCGCGTCTAACCAATGAATTTTTTGACTTTTCAGGAAAGCGGAAACCCAAAGGTCTTGCGGCTTACGAGATGGGAGGATGTCTCGGTGCTGGAGGATTTGGACAAGTTTTCTCTGCTACGAGAAAGCGAGATAAGCTACCGGTAAGCAAAGAATTATCTTTAACACTACTTGGACAATTACAAAAAAATTTATCAAAAACAAAAAACGTATAAAACAAAACAAAACAAACAAACAAAATCAAAGAACGCTATTACTCTCAAAGTCGATTATAGCGGAGAAATATGAGTTTTAAGTGAGGCGAGTCTGTGGATATGAATTTTTTCTACTCGTTTTGATGGTAATTCACAGAACGTAATCTGGGATTCTTTGTTACGGAGTTGATCTTGACCACCTTTAGGAAAGTAAAGATGTTCGGCAAAATAACTCGTTCGACAAAAGCAAATGCTACGTGAGCAGACGCTCTTCTAGTTTTATACTCTTTGTTTCATAGGATACGTGACGCATAATCTTTTGAGATTTCCGACTACACCCATTGTATATCTTTACGGTGTGGATTCCGTGTATTGTATTGCGCATGATCACAAAAACATTCTGCATAGTAGGATGACTCTCGGCTCCTCTGTCATCATGTGCTTAACAGAGAAAATGGCTGTTGCTTTCATGATCGAAGATGACGACAAGCGACAAGTTAGTAAGCACCGTCAGATTTATTTTGTTTTGTCTAATTTCATAAAGGTGGCTATCAAATTTGTCAAGAAGGATAGGGTCAGGAATTTCAAAGAGGTAAGTTTTAAGATTTAGCCATGATTCAGGAACGCTGATTTTCACTCACAAAAGTTCTTGCGGTCACCGGAAATCATTTAATTTCCTCGGTTTCGTTTAGAAAATTTGTTTGTTAAGATCATTATTGAAACAGTTCATTTAATCTTTCACACTTTTCTTATCCGAAATTAATATCTTATCTACTTATCTAGCCGCGTTTTTGGAAAACGAACCTAATGAAATTTCAGCCAGTTGAGTGAAAAAGGGCCAAAAAGCAGGGTATTTTCCGCCCGAAAAGCTCCAAAGGAAAAGGAAATCGGGGAAAAGAAAGAGCCAGGAGGAAGAAAGGAGAACAGAAAAAAGCAATGGCTGCACTCTTAGTTTTTAGCTGGCTACTTTGGAGATTTTGGCCGTAAAATAGCTGTTTTGTGGAAGAGGTTTATTTGGCGGTTACGTTTTCAAAAATCCGGTTGAGTATATAAGTGAATCAATAGAAGGAGATGCAGGCCAGCAATGAACAGTTTTCGTATGGACCCAAATACGACGGGGAATATCTATTGAATCCCTGCTTTAACGCCCATCCGGTATGAGACGGCTACACCGCGTTGGCTATCTGTCATTTCATATCTAAATAGTACGAGTGATCTATTTTATTTAATGTTTTTTATTTGTATTTCCCGGCATTATATAATCAGGCCCAAATATCATGGCGATTCCACTAAGCTTTTCAAAATTAACTCTTAAGCTGCTCCATATACAATGTTTTTAGTACAGTATAGAGCGGTTTTCACTTGACTGTCGAAAGTAATTGGTTTTGGTTTTGGTTTTGGTCTTACTACGCCCTTTGGTTGGCTAGTGTATTTACTTTGGTTTTGGTTTTACGACAGTCAAGTGAAAACCGCTCTATTACTGAATCATCATTTTTATGGTCATACTTAGTGGAAGAGGCTAAACTGATTATGAAAGGCGGCGAACATCATGGATAAATCAACAGTACTGCAGTTTACGTTGGAAACTCCCTAACGGTGCCTGAGCCTTTGTTTTCTGCATCACAAATTGTACCTGAAAAAAATAAGGCGACGTTTTTATTGAACAATAAGATCAAAATGTCAGGAAAGCTATTGAGAATGCTAGAGAATGGAAACAGACTTACTTAGATCTTTCTCCCTCTGTAGATCAATGGCAAGCAGTTCCCCGTTGAAGCTTACTACCAACGCCACATTTGTCATCCAAACATCATTCAGCTCTTGGACGTTTTCACCCACAAAGAAAATTTCGTTTATGTGCTCGAACGTCCCGAAGATTCTTCGGACCTGTTTGACATCATGGACGTCGATGACGGGATGACCGAAGACGATGGAAGACGATTTTTTACGCAGATTCTTGATGCCACTATTCAGTGCGAGGAACAAGGTATCTTGCACAGAGATATCAAGCCTGAAAATATTATTGTTGATTTGACCAACATGGATGCAAAGCTGACTGATTTTGGATTGGCTTGTGAAACCCAAGAAGAACCTTTCAGGCGTTTTGTAGGTAAGAGTTGGAAACAAAAAAAATAGACCAGTCAGTTCACTGTTCAATATATATTGTCTGTGTCATCGTCTGGCACGATTGTTTCAAACGAGATCAATTGACTTATCCAAGCCTTTGTGCAACAGCATCACGCAGATAGATTAAAATATACAAGAGAGAAGCTTTCTCACCATATCTTCTTACTAACAGCTAGTACAGAATATGTACTAACGTGAGTGTGGGAGTGCTCCAGAGATAACGAATAACATTTGAGTTCTGGATCCTAACCAACGTAAAACAAACTTTATTGAAACACTGAAACCGATGATTAATTTTGTTCATTGCGCAAATAGCTGAATAAAGTGACCTCACTCTTTCTCTCGATGGTTCCTATGAGCTCATGCACCTGATAATAGCCTATCTGGCTCTTAATCGGACATCACTGTCCAAGAATAACGTCATGGTCTTTTTTTGTTTCTACTGCAAACGTATGAACACTCATGAAGGTTGAGAACAAGGCTGATATATTCTCAATTTCAACTTTACAGGAACTCATCACTACTGTCCTCCAGAGTTCTTTTCGCATCACTGTTTCCTTGGTAACCAAGCCACTGTTTGGCAACTGGGCTTCTTGCTGAACGAGATGCTGTCCGGAGAGATGCCTTATGTCAAGCCTCGTATGGCCCTATACATGCCTCCTTCGGTTCCTAAATACCTGTCAAAAGGTAAGAACGTTTTTAGCATTGCCAGAAATTAGGGACAAGATGGCGGTTGCGCGTGCGCACTAAGGCCACAATGGCTGCGAATTCGTATAAGAAAATGTATGGAGATAACGAAACTTTTTCAAATATATCGATTATAAGCTCACGGGTGTTCGGTGCCCGACTCGAAACATGTTAAGTGCTGTGTAACCCTCGCATCTGGGTTAAAAATAGCTAATTAGAAGTAGGTTTACTTACTTCCTGATGTGGCCACTTTTATTCCTTGTTGTACGCTCCATTTCTCCATACATTGTCTTAAAATCTTGCCGAAGTCATGCGAAATACTCGTCGATTAGAGGATAAACCCTTCACTGAAGTAAATTTGCCCGACTCGATATCACTTCTGCGATGGAAGATGTTTCCAAAACAGTCGTTAAAGGACGATTTTGCACTGCAAAATACTTCCAAAGGCGCATTATTTCCCTCAGTTTTCCATCTGTAGTCCAGTAATGGACGCCATGGTTGCGAATGACACATTTCGGTCGGACAAAGCTTCACAACTCCAAACCTCACCGAATCGCCATTTTGTTTGTTGCTACAACTCCAGAGATGCTTCACGGGATATAAACTAGGTTCCAGGCATTCAAAAATCCTCTATTAGCCTACCAGGCTTGGTTTTAAAACAAAATTGTCACGAAAATGTCACGAAAGGTACATCCGCGTACTGTTTTGTTGCTATCAGCCGCTCGGCCGCGTATAAACCTAACATTTTCTTGCAAGGTGTTAAATTCCAGCTTTTTTCTTCGTAAAACAGATCCACAGAGCTCAAATTATTTAAAAAATCGCAAGGGATACGCTTTCCCTGACTACGATAGTTTTTGTCCGCCATTTTAAAAACGAGATTCCGCTGACAATTGATCACGGGCGCGAAATGTCCACGATTTCTGGCAATGGTACCGCGCAGTTTACGGTGCTTTGTTTTCCATCAGGCGACTCTCACAATAAAACAAAACTTGAGCGCGGCTAGCTAACTTATTTTAATAGTCCAACTAGAGTGTCAACAGGCTCTCTTAAGAGGCATGAGGCACTCTCATATGAAAGAAGCGGATATGATCCTCGGAAAACTGAAATTGAACCCGAAAGGCGACCAGTTTGGACATGGCTCTGGCTTTGTTTGACACCTGTGAGACCAAACTTCAACACAGTCCCGTCTGACAGCATTTGTTTCTTTTTATAAAGAACTTCTTATGCGTGAAACCACAAGCGATACCTTAAAGATTTGTAAAAATGTTGACCTTCCAACCTAAACACCCAAACTGAGACCAAAATTTGTAGTTTCTTACCCTAAGCAAGATGAAAAGCATCCCCATCATGGGAGTTCTTGCCTCTCTCTCCCCGAATTAAGGATTAAGACTAAGAGAAGCTAGAATCGAAAGCCCACAAGTAGCTTCTACCAAAGATGTGTTACGATTGAAAAGCGTGTAGATAAAAATTAGGCTGTTACGTGCGAATCATTAATTAGATTAGCATTAGATTCGATCTCAGTATAAGATTCTTTTCTGATTGGATGAAAGTATAACACAAGCTATTTTGACCCATCACAAGAAATCGTGAAAGGTTATACTTGCTTTATACTTTTAGGTACAAAGTCTTTAAGTACAAAGTCTTTTCTGAACCGTGCCGTGCTATATGGAATAGGCTTTAGTCGCAGAAAACTGAGGCATAATTATTTGTCATAATAAGTGTTTCGCCCCATTTAACGGAATGCGGCTTTCGGAATCCGGAAAAATTTTGCTATTGGAATCTGGAATCCTGAGCTTTGGAATCCGGAACATAGCTCAAGGATTCCGGAATTAGTAATCCTACTAACCACTAAAATCCAGAATCCAAGTTCCTTTGGGAAATATTGGAACCCAGTACCTGGAATCAGGAATACACGGCGCCGTGGAATCTAGAATACAGGGCCGGGTTGTTCAAAGCCGGTTTAAAATAACCCAGGGTTAGTCTGAAATTTGAGTTCAGATATGAAGGCTTAAATATCAAATTCATTTTAAATCTCTTTGTCTATAATTTTTTGAGAGCATGCTATAAATTGAATAGAGAAAGTTATCGGAGAAATTGCTTTTTTGAACAAAAGAGAAAGAAACACGGATAGAAATTTAATCCAAGATTTGCGCTAATAGGCCTTCAAACAACTGGGCCCAAGACTGCCTTGGATTCTCTTACATGCAGGCGAAATGTTTAAGTGTGCCTCATTTGCTTTTTTATAAACCCATAAGTTATACTTGCAAAACCTGAAAGAAAAGAAAACCGATTATTTACTATCCTTTGTTTTCAGAGGCTCGCTCTTTGATTTCATGGATGCTTTCCAGGGATCCAGATCAGCGACCAACTTTGCAACAAATTAGAAACCATTCCTGGATTAATAAGTAAACACAGTTAATACCATCATCAGCTGGCGGCTGCTGATATGCGCAACAAAGGAGATAAAAACTCTTGGACATAATTACAACAGACGACAGAACTGGGATTCAGCCGCCAATTACCAAATAATACCAGCAAGTTTGCGCTTCAAGACACTTAATTAACCAACGTACCAGGCATAAAAATATCAGTAACTGTGTGCATCAAAAACCCAGGAATAAACGAGAAGCCATCTCTGAATTAACCAAGCATCAAGCCAGTATCAAAAGGAGATGAATAATGTACAAGTTGTGGTTTACTTTCATATTTGGTTGAAAATTTATTCACCTTTATGATGACAAGTTTCGGAAACCGAGGAGAATAAAATTCAAACCAAAGATAAAACTGGACCACAGCATATCAGCGTGAAAAACACACACAAAAAAAATGTAGAAAACTGTGGGACGGACCATATTGGCGGGAGTAGAAAAAATATTATTGAAAGGGAAATTAAAATTGACTGAACAGATAAAAGAAATGTCAACGAGAAAAGAAAAAAGCAGCTTGAAAATTCCCACCCCTTGCTATAGATTTTCTGGATTATTATACTTTACTGGGAAACTGTCCACCTACCCCTCCCCTAAGCCAACATTTTGCCCTAAGTGAGAAGTAAGTGTTAATGTTGGCTGAGGGGAGGGGTAGGTAGGCCGTTTCCCAGAAACGTATAATGGTCGATTTGTTAATGATCCGCCCTCCTAAGACCAGATCGACATTAACCCCAGAATCAGTTGAGTATGATTCTAGTTTTCAGTATTACATTAATACATGTCAACAGGGATAAACAAGAAACAGCTGAACAGATGGGGGGACAGACTGGATATACCAAAGACCAATTCTTTGACGAAATGAATGTCTAAAAGATCAGATTATTATAACGCGAATGTTAGAGTTTATAAAGTAACATTCGTTATAATTACATTATTATAGAATGTTGGAGCCTATTGGGTAAGTTTAAACATTTACTTGAGCCAGGAAATGTTAGTACTTTCACACTGTAAATTAAACCTAAAGACCCTAAATATAATGAACCCCCGATTTCTCTCCAGGGTTATAGTACATATGGGACAGGGCCCAGATACAGTATAGATATCTTTTCAGTCTGTTGAATCCATTATGTGTTAGTCAAGATATTGAGGTTCAACCGAACTCTATTATCAACAACAACAGACAGAAACAGTAGAAAAAAAAAAAAAAAAACAAACAACAAAAATTAAAAAATTAACAAAAAATTAAGAAAAAACAAAAAAACCATAGAAGGAAATTAAAAAAAAAAAAACGAAACAAAAAATACAAAATACTAATAAGCAACAACAAACAAAAAATTAAAAAGGAACAAAAAATAAAACAAGAATTCATATTTTAATTGTATTTACATAAGGAAAGCTATCACCTTTTTAATTTTGTACATTTTGAAATAACTGTAAAGTACAACTTGTCTTCGAAGCCGAAGTTCAGTAATTTGTATTAATGTTATGTGAAAAATAATAAAATTATTTTTTGTAGAGAAAAACTGTTTATTCCTTTGTCTCAAAATAGCTTATAAATTTTATGATTTTCCCCAGTTCAACACTTTTAAAACAACGTGGTTATCTCGCGGGACCGGAATGTGACTAAAAATGAAAATGACATTTTTATTCTAAAATCACCTTCCCTTTATCCACAGTTGGGCGTTCAATTGCTACATTCGCTCCCACAAAAAATATACGGGCAAAAGTAAAGGACCAGATAGCTACTAACCCACAAGGCGTTGGCATCCTTATCACCATTCTAAATCGGAAACCTGCGATTTACTAGATAGCAGATGTTCATGTATGAGATCAGACCTTATCCAGTATAGCAAGCGTTTCCGCGTTTTGAGTTCGTCGAGAAAACTGAGACTAATAATAATAAGAGGAATAAAGGGCGAAGTGGAAGGCGAAGTGGAGTTTCCTCTTCGCCCCTTCCCCTCCCCCTTGGTCTATTTATCCTCGCTTCATTTTCGCGCCAATTAAGGCACGGTTCAGACGCTCCTCCGCTCATGTACTGAACCTAACTGACGAATGAAGTGCGGCAAAAGAGCCGCGTGTGAATCAATTTGGTATACCGCAGTTTTAGTTTGGTGCGGCAAAAGCGTTAAGTTCGACAGTATGTCGAACTTGACATAGGTTCGACACACAGTGCGCCGTCTGAATCAGATGTCGCTACAAAGTCGAACTTATTCAGTAAGATTCGGCAAATGAAAAGTAAGGCGTCTGAACCAGGCCTAACTCGATCTGAAACCCTTGCCAGACAGGCTAATGAAACCTATTGATCTTTACGCTATACCATTAGATTCATTACCAAGCGCTCAGAAAAGGATTTTGGAATGCCTGTGTGGAACTGTAAGATTAAGACATAACGGGAAGAAAAAGCATTATAGCTTATTTAGTTTTCTGCCTATGAATCTGAGATTAATAATAACTAAATGGCAGCTGTTATAAATCTTTACTACATAGTGATGACACTTCATTTGTATATCCGGGCGATTTGTCCCTGCGGGTCGTCCGGATAGTCCTAGCCTGTACACAGACGTTGTTTCATTTTTCTCTTCCTTCTTTTCGAAAACATCTGCGTCTATTTTCTTCTTTCCCCGCCGCTACCCCCTTGCGCTGGCGGTCAATAAATCCCCCCGCGGTTTTTTATCACACGCGCTTGACGGACTTGAGAAAATAGGGTGTCTGTGAACGGGCTAGGATAGTCCCACCTGGCATTATATGACTTTTTTTGGGCAATCAGGAGGATCTGGGAGTGACAGCGTGGAGCACGCGCGAGCCACACGAGAGGAAGAAAGAGAAAACAATGTCTCGAACTTTCCGTTTGCTCCTCCAAACGTACCCTAGCCTGCGTGGCAGGCGTTCGAAAGGGAAGGGGAAAGGGAAAGGGCGCGAGACCACGCGCGAGGGAGGAGGGAGGAAGGGGATTTCCTTTCCTTTCTCCCTCGCGCGGCCCACGCGCTCTCGCGAGCCCAAATTTCCCCTTCCCCTTTAACGCCTGCCACGCAGGCTAAACCCGCCCGAGCACCCCTACAACGCTGCCTGTTTTGGACGCTTAATTATCAGGTGTTCTCATATGATCCTCTCAATTGACTCGTTCGATAGAGATACAAGGAAACCATGCTGGAGAGTACTCACCAAACCCTGGCTTGTCACCAACCTATTTTCATCTACAGCCTAAAATAAATTAACAAGATATAGACAGATAGTTTTATTTATGAAGGAAACGTTTAAACTGATTCCTGCCGTTTGCCTTTTAAAGAAAGTTAAAAAATTAAAGCCACAGCTCATTCTTTGGCAGCCTTATTGTGGAAAAATATAGACGTTTGTACGCAGGCTAAATTTCATTTAAATTGCAAATAATTTTGCTCATTATCATTCAATTATTCTTCTTGTTTTCTCACGTTTAGCGCCTGAAAAAAACATGGCGAACGACTGTGGAGCAAAGTGCATTTTATTGCTTGCGAACCAAGTAATATTCTCCAGTTTAGAGTAGAAAACGCAAAAGCCGACATCAACAATCAATCGAGTGTTAGAGAAACGAACGTCAGGCCGGTCTCAGAACCTTGCACAAGAATGGTGAATGGTTATTAACAAGACGCCGCGGTGTTCAACTTCAAGATAATTTGCACCCGAGCCAGAGGTAAGCAAGATTATACGCCAGCTTCACTTTAAGCTCAGGGCTCATTAGACTAAACTTACTCTTAGGAAAAATAAAAGTTTATGAACCAGGAAGCGTGGATTAACAGCAAGGCTGCCAATAACATTTTGGAAAGCAGTTGAACACTTTACGTATGAATAAATTGCTTTAGCTTAGCATTATTTTGAATGAAATGCCTAGCACAAAAGATCTAGGCCATGATCATTTTTTTCCATTCTCAATGAATACTGTTGTAAGGATTATTTACTTAGTTTGTTGCTGGCTAAATATTATGTTAATATTCACCGTTATTTTAAAGAATATTTATTATTTTACAAATTTTTGTAAGTATTGTTATGGTCACCAAAATTCCAGATCAACTGCAAACGCTATACAAAATATTTTGGTTTAACTTTATGTCAAGAAGAGGAACGTTTCTGAGGGACATATACATACGGCGACGAATATGTTGTGCACGCCCAATATATTTATTTTTGCACAAATTTTACTTTTGATTTTAGTTGGGTATTGCAATGTATGATAACGAGCTGACAATAAGGGGAAGAAGAATTTGAACAAAAAATAAAATGAAATGAAAACATGTAATTTTTATAGCAGCGTCTGCACCAGAACGAAACTCCCAGAAAATTACCTTAATTTACATCAGGTGAACAGACAGACAATTTTGTACTTTTTAGTGCTGTTTTTATCCCGGGGATTGGGTGGGGGGGAGGGGGCTACCCAACAAAGGTTTATGCAGGGAGGTTCCGTCCCGAGATGGGCATTACCCCTTACCCTTTCATATACCATTTATGAAAGAAAGGTACGCCATTTGCATAAGTTCAATTGAAAAATGGTACCCCTTTCACATAACTATATCGCCTAAACAGTAGTCTTTTGTGTCATTTTTTTGCAACGTTTAATTAAATTAAAATGATATAGTTATGGCGTGTCTTATCGTTACATTTTAATTAAAGACCCTTTCAAATACTTAAATGATATAATTTTCTACCCTTTCATATACTGCAAGTAGTGAAATCCCTTAACCCTTTGATGTATATGACGTCTGAAGTAAGTACCCTTTTCCCGTATTTGCCATTATGGGGAGTACTACCCCCCATCCCCACCCCCGGAGGTTTTATTTTCAATTCCGTCCGTGAGCCAGAAAATATTATTTAAACCTCCTGAAACTCTCTATTGATCTTAATTTGTTATATTAATTACAGCAACAAGCATCTCTCCCGTTCAGCGGCCATGGTCTTGTGATCCTCTTGTTGACTGACAGCAGATGAATGACATCGCTAATTCCCTACAGGCCC